TTACCTGAGATCTACTATGATGCAAGAACGTCTCAGTGGACTTGCCATTATAAGCATAAACCATGTGGTCTCAAATCAGTTGTCATATGATGATGTTGTAGATGACTTTGCTGCAAGAAAAACCAGGAGAGTAAAGCTGTAGCAGGTTATGTGAGATTGAGGAGGTGATGGTGTAGTTTTTAAGTTACGGCAGTACCAAAAACACCACTAGAGGTCTTTGTAAGATCATCTTTTTATTTTTATTTAAATCCTTGTATTTTTTTGTGCCTACTCGTTTCTTTAATATCTTATTTTGCACAGTGCCGTATTTATATTGTATTTTTAAGTTAATGTCACTTGTTTACACTTTTTATTTTGGGAGTATTAATAGGTACTTTATGTAAGCTATTTATATTGTATTTCATATGTTCAGTTCATTTTTTTGTATTTGTTTCTTTAATTCTTTCTAAGTATTTTGAATGTGCAATTGCTTTATTTAAATAAAAGAATGTCCAAGACAAAGCTATTACGTTTCTTATGAGTATATACACTAGTAGTGGAGTTTACTGCGATGCAACGGGGCGCCACCTGAAATCTTGCCTAGGGCGCCAAATTGGTTAGGGCCGGGCCTGCGCACAGACACGTGTCTCCACAAATATTACCCAAACAAAACTGGCAACTAAGCAATGCGTGCAAAGTTTTGTAGGCTATTTTCAAGACGAGTAAAATATATTAAATTATCTAATTCAGTGCGCAGCTGGAGAAACAAAAACGCAAATATGCAGATAAGACTTGACATGTTTCTTACTGCCTCTTAAACATACCGTACGCGTTTTTTAAAAATCAATGTATCACTGGGCACGTTTTTGAATTAGCTGTCTTCTTATTATCACTGGCCTATTTTAATATGTGGGAATGAATTTTGTGCAGTATTTTGTAAACGACTTGCCTTAAATTATACTTTGAGGAATGGAACAAAAGTATTTCACTGAACTCAACTGACTTGAACTGATACTGACAGTATAAAACAATCTAGACCAATCAGGCTAACGAAACGGATGTTCTGTGGATTCTGGTCAGCAGCTTTTCAGATTAGAATGTCTGAATAAAACGGCGACGAGACTTTCGTGTATTCTTCATGTGGTAAAACACTAATGAGTAATAATGTATGATAATGCAGTTATTATTGGCTACAGCGCTGTCAACAATGCAGGGTAGAGATGCAAATTCAAGACACCAAAACTTTCTCAGCATTTGCGATGTCAGTGAATTTTAGTGTTATCAGTCCTATAGGCTATGAGCAGTTATATAAATAATATAAATAATCTCTCCTAGTGGTGGAGGGGTTTACGCATAACCGATTGTAGGTTATTTTATAATTCATATACACACACATACAGTATATGTTCTGTGTCATTGTGCCAATAATTAGGCCATGCAGGCTGTAGGCCTACACACTGCTGGCTATATTTTCGAATAAACATATTTTATTATTACTATCTGCTTTTGTTGACTGCGCTTTTGTAGTAACTGACAGCTCGAAATCGTACTTGCCATCTTACTTGCCATCCCTTTACAGTCCTTACTTTTATCGTCAGAGCTGTGTCTTAGGTCCGCATATCTTAGAATTATATAGCCTCAAACACTCCCAGCCTGGATCATTAGGTTTCTCTGCTGTAGGCAGGTTATCAGCTGTGTTTCCTTACAGCAGCTGGAGATCCAGAGAAATGGCAGCCTGCCTAATGACAACAAAATCACTTCATAGACTACAAGAAATGAGAAGCTGTGTAAGTGTACCCACCTCAAAAGCCCTCATCATTAGATGTGAAAACAGCAATAAATCCCTTTACTAATACTTTTGAACCTTTATCCATACAGTCACGCTGTCATGTCAAACAAGACCTTGGAACTTTCCGTTATGCGTCTACAATCATAACGAAATGTCGATACCTTACCCATGTACGTAAACGTATAGCGGGAGAGTCACATGTTTTGCTCACAAATGCTGCCATTTATTTGACCCGGATGTCTTGATAATATGTTGACGGGGTTATTATAGTCTCATATATGAAGGAAGGTTAAAAGACCTTTGTGCTGTTCTTCAGATTCTTTCAAACAGATGAGTACTTTCTGCTTGTGTTTTAGTTTGGTCAATGATTTATTAAATGAGCAACAGTGAATGTTTGGCTCTATACCGGTTGTACTGGTTATACTGGGCCGTACCGCTACCCATGGCGTCTCCTGTGTCGTCTGCACGGCAGCACATAAACAGAAGGAGCTGCAGGATGTGAGGTGCACTTGAACTTGAGCTCGTTACATCCGTCTGTCTCTGTCTGCGCCCCCCTCTCCTGCCCCGTTCTCTTCCCGTGTTAAACTTGACCTTGACACTCAGGGTCCAGACTGACCCCCACAGCGGACCGCACAATGAGAGAGGGAGAGACGGAATGTCTAGGTGGTGTGTGTGTGCATGTGTGCGCATGGATGTCTATGTTTGTCTGCTGTTTGAACACTTCAGGGTCAATTCAATGCGGACAGTTTTAAAGCAGCAGCAGTTGTGTGACTCAGGCCTTAAGGGAAACAACACGCGCGTGCACACACACAGTAGACCTTGACAGAGATGATTCAGTCACACTCACTCCCAGCCAATAAAAACATTGAACTCTTCTACTGTATATCGCTTCACAGTTAACATTACTGGTACATGTTTTGAAGCCTGACTTCCCCCCAAAGCCCACAGGCGTACACACATACTTCATACATACATTTCTCATTATTATTATTAACCCCTTAAGATGAAACTTTATTCTTATCTGTGGGAACAGTCGTTTCATTAAAGTTAAATAAATGAAATAAAATAAAACGCCTACTGATTTAGATTTTTCCTGGCGCTTTCAGTCACCTCTCGCGATATTCATAAGCGAATGTCAAAAAGCTGACCTCCGGTTAAAACATGATTTTATTTCGTTTATTTAATGTTGTTGCACACACATTGTTTATTTGCCGTGAGAGAAAATTGAAATAGAATAAATAAGATATGTAGAAGCAACAATTTGGACGAGGCCTAAACGGTTATATGGCTTCGTTTTTCATCATAGGAAAAAATATGGAACAGCCTAAAGCTTTAAATTGAAATTTAGCTGCTTCCTCTGTAGAACAGAAAGACATCCTCACTGCCTCCAGGGGTCCCTTTCCACCTGCTTCCGCTCACTAGTGCCGAGCGCTGCGTAAAATAACATCTAATGCAAAAGCCTGGGTGATGTGTGCCAACGACTCTGCCCTACATAAACATGGACTTCTTCGGGTCCCTAAATAGAATAACAACAACAACATATCAATACGGGTTCCTCAGTGAATCAAACAAAAAATGCAAGAGTTAATTAAGAAATAATAAAATAAAAGCTAACCTATTTTGACTGACAGCAGCGCGGCTCAGCTTCACCTCTTCAGCTCTGCCACTGCCACTGTTATTGTTATTGCAGCCTTATCCAGACGCAGAGATTACTCATAATTTCATGGTTCCCACAGACTGAGAAAATAATGTAGGCGGTATGATGTAAAAAAGGTCAAATAATCTTTAAGTTAAAACGTTCCAACTGAAGTAATATGGAAAAACGCAGCTTCTTAAAGCATCACACAAACTGAGTAGACACGTTTTCTTTACAGACGAACTAGAGGACAAAGGGGTCCACGCGTTAAAGCTGTATAGCAACACTAACATATCACTACTGACAACACCGGGCCTCGTTTGCAATCACTCTCACTGGATGACTTCCCACTTTTTGCGTGTTCATTGTCAACATTAAGGGAACACACTTCTCACACATCTCTCGTTGTTGTAAATGTGTGTACACGGTGACAGTCCATCCATGAAGACGAGTTCTGCGTGCACAGTGCGGATAAATAAAGGGATTTATCCGTGAATGCCTTAAAGTTATTTAAGGAAGAAAATTGTGAATCCATTTCATACGGTGCGATCTGAGACCAAAAACTGTGAGCAGGAAATGAAACGAAGATTCAAACAAATCCATATTTCACAAATCCGTCCACATCCAGACACGTTGAAGGCACGTAGAGGTCCAGTCGGCTACAGCTGTTTTAATACAGCTCTTTCTGAAAACAACGCTTAAGTTTTTAATACTTGTGGCAGCACCAATTACAACTGAAGTCTTTAAATATAATTATATCATAACTAATATTAAGCATTTTACTCTAGACCTCAAATACCATGTATATAACAGAAGATCGTAAATTTACTTTTAGTATTGATGTCAGTTTCTGATAACTATTTTATTTCCTATGTTCATCGTGTCTGCTGCATGTTACTCGCACTGCAGGCAGCCAAGATTTTTTAATAAATGAATCATAGGCCGAAACCAATCTGTTGTTCACGTATTGGCAAAACCGTTTGCAAAAGCGCGCGCTTGAGATGTTTTCTTTCTGTGGCACTGGCAGTTTCCAGTCTGACATAACGCAGCTGTCAGAGGCAGAGCAGCATGTTCAGGAAGCTGAACCAAACCTGCTGCGCTTCTTGTGCCACAGCTCGAGCCTCATAAAAATATTTTCTTTGACTGACAATCCCTAACAAGTCTCTTCTTTTGCTTTTTTCCTCTTGTCCCATCACGTGATTATTGTGTCTCATCCAATCGACACGCGCCCTCCCTCCTTCCCTGGTTCTTGCTTGTTGCGTCAAGGCTGCGGCTGGGATGTAATCCAAAGTCCGACCGGGTCCCGGGAGTCCTTGCCTCCGAGCAAGCACCGGCAACACACGTGTGCTACGACAGTGCGCGTCACGGTACATGTGAATTATCTGAGCTGTGTGTAGGAGGGCCAGCGATCATAAAAGAATAAATACGCACCACTCCCCATCATTCAGCCAGTGTAGCAGTTTACCGCACAGGACCGGAAAAAGTGAGAGAAAACCGCAACAGACGCGAGCAGACTGGGTAAAGGAGCGCTTATGACAGCCTCCCTGGTCCTAAACACTCGCTGGCCAACGGACACGGTAATGTTTGTGTATGATAACAACCTGGACGACCTGAACAAGAACATGGAGGGGTTGGTGGGCGGCGGCAACTTCGTCGCGGCAACTGCGGCAAGCCAGTGTCGCAACATAATGGCGAACTCGGCCGGCGCTGCGCT